AGGAGCTGCCCGACGGCTGTGAGCGCGAGGGGTGCCCCCGCCAACCCTTCTGCTTGCGTTGAAGAAGTGCCAGGGCGAGCGTGCACGGGAGAGGGGGTGACGTATTCGGAGGAGGGCCATTCGAGACAGCGGTGGTCTTTCCAGGCGGTTTTCGCTGTTTTTAGGCCTCCTGGAGTTTTCTTGTTAGCACGGCTGGATCCGCCTTGCAAAACGGGTCAGGATCGATTCCTGAAGGGGTCCAGCGACTGATGTTGAGCGGATTTGGGTCGGTTGGGCGGGATAGCCGCCATCGTTTCAATTGACTATCCTCCGACATGTGAGTTTCAAGAACGCTTTTGGGTCGGCTTGGTACAAGAGAGGGCAGATAGCACATGAGTTGCAGACCCGAGGCGCTGGGATTCGGCTAATAGGCAAGGATGAGGTAAAGGAGGACCAGGAGGACGATTCGAAGGAGGAGGATGAGGAGGAGGGAAAGGATGAGCAGGAGGAGGAGGATAAGGAGGAGGAGGAGGATGGCAGGGGATGGCTCAGGTGGAGAGGATGTGCATCAGCTGTGGCCGAATTGCTGGAAGGGACAGGGGGCGCTGTGTGAGGGCGAGGGTCTTCCTTCGAGCGAAGAGCTGCAGGTCCCCCCCCCACAGATCCCTTCTTGAGGCTCCACTCTCCTCCTTGCTGCTCCCTTCCTCCCCTCTCTACCCAGACATCCGGCGTCGTGCTTTTCTACAACATTGCTCCCCAGAGGTGTGGACCCCTTCCCAGGGACCAGATTCTCCCTGCCTCCTTCCTTCGGGTGTTGTTGCACATCCTCGTGGGGAGGGGCCCAGCCGTCCCTGGACATCCTGGCTCTGTGGCCATGGGAAGCACAAGGCATCCGCCCGTTCCAGGCCAGACGGTCACGCTGATTCTACTGCGGGAGGGCCTGGCCACCGCGCCGCTCCTCCCCCTGTGGCCGCCGCGGCGTTTGAATCTTTTGCGGGACGGCTCCGATGGAGCTCCACGCTGCCCGCCCGTGCAAGTGGGTGGGTCTGGATGGGCGAGGCGGCCTATCCCTCGAGCGCATTCTTCCCCAGAAGCTGGTGGCGGCCAGCTGGCAAAGTGCTAATCTGGGAGGGCACGTGGCAAGCGGGGCCCCTGCTCTGTCCATTGCAGTGCGCGCCTTGGAGAAGCGAGTGGAGGGGGGCATCCGGTTTGCGAGGTGGCTCCTAGCAGTTACGCTGGGGGCGGAGGACAAATTGGAAGCCCAGTACCACGACTGGGGCCTCGCATTTTTGGGGCCGCCTGTCTGACGGAACGAGGCCGTGGCTGGGGCAGAGCTAGGCTGGATGTTTTCAGGCGCAGGCAGAGTGATCGTAGATGTGGCCGTGCACAGGGCCGCACTTTGGACCACGGGCAAATCAGATACATCTGATGGGGCAGTGCTCTGGCGGGCCCATAACTGCCCCACCTCGTGGGCAGCTCGATCATTGGACATGCTTTCTCGGTGGGAGATGCTCGATTGGCCGTTTTGGGAAGCGGGGGCGAAGGGGCCCCAGCCTCAATCAATTTGGCCCCCCTCCCGCGGGTTCGCCAGCTCCACGACCATTTCTGGCAAATCCCCGGTACCACCCTCCTGGGCGTGCAAGGGAGCCCCGGGAGAGCCTGAAGACGGCCCAGGACGCCTCTGGAACAGCCCAAATGTGCTCCAAGACTGTCCAAGCCAGCCCCCCGACGATTCTCGAGGCTGTTCTGCCGCCCGCGCCCGCAGGAGAATCAGGAGCCAGCTCATCATTTCGCGCTGGGGCTCAGGGTAGCGGTTCGGGTGACTGTGTCATTCGACCTCAGAGTAGTAGTGGTTCGGGTGGCTGTCATTCGACCAGGGATACGAGCCAGCCCAGCAGCAGGCGCAGAGCCCCGACGGACAGCACCACGAGCTGCTGACGCCCTCAGACTGGACTCGCTTCGATGTCACCATATCCCTGCGGGCGCTTCGCGCAATGACTTGCATGCGATACGCATGCGGGAACTGCGCGAGCTGCACCTCCGGTGGTGGCACGCCACTAAAGAGGAGATGACACGAGCTGTACAAGCAGGCAACATACCACAACATATCCTCGGCCTCAACCCCTACGGTGGTCAACAATTGTAGGGAGTGCCACAAGTGGTTACCACCAGCTCCCCCGACCATCCCTACACTCCGCCTTTCGACACGGTTCAACCAGCACGCCGAGTGCGACATCCTGCATTACAAGGGTCGCGTGATCCTCCACCTGGTCTGCTGCGCCTCGCGGTGGCATAATGGCCAGGAGACCGCGTCCAAGCCCGACTCGACGCTGCTTGCCGCCATCGACTGTTTTTGGATTCAGCTACTTGGTGCGATGGAGACGTTCATCGTGGACGACGAGGGCGGGATGACTTCACCATATCTTTTGGCCTTCGGCCCATCCCGCCACCGTGCCTGGGTTTTGGGTATGAAGCCTATTGGATGTTCGCTGGGGTCTCGTGGGGGGCTACTCGGGGGCCTCTTGGAGGCAGTTTGGGCGCCTCATGGGGGCTGCTTGGGGGACAATTGGGGCCTCTCGGGGGCCTTTTGGGGCCTCTTGGGCGCCCCTCGTGGCCTCCCTGCAGGGGGGCTTCTCGGGGCGGAAGGCTCAGATTTTCGGTTCGCGTTCCTTCGTTTGGGCCCCTTTTGGGGCCGTCTTGGGGCCCCAATGTGCCGTTTTGGGCGCCTCTTGGGCTGTCTTGAGGCCCTCTCCCGCTGTTTTGGGGCTCTCTTGGGGGCCTCCTGGGCCGTCTGGGAGCGGTTCTAGGGCCGTCAGGGAGCGTCGGGGAGCCGAAAAGGTGAGAACGTCCAAACCCGCCCAAAACCGAAAAGAAGTAAGTGATTTTGGCTTCTTGGGGCTTTCTTGGAGGGCCTCTTGGGGGCCCCTCTGGGCGTCTTGGGTGCCTCTTGGGCCGTCTGGGGGCCATCTTGAGCGTCCTGGGGCGATCGTTCGGCGGCTCGCGGCTTCCTGGGGCCGTCTTGGAGGCTTTTTGGGGCTCTCGTGGCCCGTCTTGGGCCCTCTTGGATTTGACGGTTCCGAGCATTGGGCAAAGGGCCTGGGGACACGCGTACTCCGTGCCCAGAGGCACGGTGGAAGATTTCGTGTTGGAGATGAAGAGGCGAAGGGTACATTCGAGCTCCTCGTCCACGCGCCCGCTTCATCGAGCGACTTGGTGTCGTGGTACGACGCGCACTTCGCGCCGGGAAATGGCAGCCAGAGCACGAAGGTACCATGGCGAACTTCGGCTCGATGCTAATAAACGCTAATTTTGCTGGCAACGGCACCGCCTGCATAGGCGGCGTTGCGCCATGTAGCGCCGTCTTCGGGCGGCAGCCGCCCATGCTGCCGCCGCTCGAAGCAGACGAAGAGAGTACGGTATCCGGTGCCTGTGGCACCGGTGTTGGGCCTCCTGCTGGTGGAGGAATGCAACCCCGCCGACTGCAATGGCGTATTCGGGAGATCGCTCTGCAACGGGTGATCGAGGCCACGTCGATCCCACGCGTCTGCCTCGCCCATCCAGGCCCTTGCCGCCGAGTCCGGGGAGGGCCGCTTCAACGTTGGCGATGCGGTGGAGGTCTACAGGCTCCCGAGCACGATGGTCGCGCGGGGCTGGGCTGGCCCTGGGGCGGTCATATCTGTTGACCCAGCGCGGGGCAAGGTAGCGGTCAAATACAGCCGAGCCGAGATGGTACGCGTGCAGACTGCAAGACGCCAGGGCCTCCATCGTCGCCGTTTTCTCGGGCCACTAGGAGGGCGCGAGGGGCGCGCAGACCCGGCAGCGCCCCGACATCTTCGAAGCCTTGCGCAATGTCCCGCAGATGGATTCAGCCGCCTGACGTTCGCGCCGAAACGTCTGATGCGCGACCAGAAATTTGTGGGCCACTGGCCGGGTTGCGCCCGCAGCTTGGCAATCTGGTGGGGTCCTCAGAACCCGAGCCACGCCCAGCAGATCCACGTCGACGGCGTCGAGTGCGACGCCCGTCAGCTTATCGGCGAGCATTTAAAGGAATCTCGCATTATTCGGTTTATCCTGGGTGATAAGCCGTTAGTGGTAGTGGACGCTGGACAGGACCTGCACAGATCGTTTAACGATCGCGCCATCGACGGTGGCGCCGCCAGCGCCGCCCAGGGTGATTCACCATCGGCCCCGTCGGATATGCCCGAGGGGACCGAACGCGATTTTTTCTGCCGCATCCAACAGGTGATGTTAGCAGCTTGGCGCGAAGTCGACGGGGTGGAAGACCTGGCCTGGAAGCTCGAGGAGCTGAGGGGCGCCGACGGTCAGCGGGGGATCTACGCTGCTGTCGGGCACGCCGCTGCGGGCCTTGGCCGCAGGCCCCGCGAGCGGCCCCGGTGCCTCGATGCGCGGCGCCGGCGTCGGGGCACCCGCGCGCGGTGCCGCTGCTACTTGCGCGGGGCGCCACGCGAGGAGGAGGAGTGCGAATGGGGAATGCGTGCGGAGTTGTATCTTGATCCAGGGGTGCGCGAAGCATTCTTGAGCTTCTACGTGGAAGCGTCCGGCGACTGCGTCGCTGGCGCCCCCCCAGACAGCCGTGCTTGAAATGTATTCCGCCGTTGGGAACGCGGCCATTCAGCGCGACGCCGACCTCCCGTCTTACGAAGATTTGTCGAGGCTGTCAAAGGTGGTTGCAGCGGCGATCCTCGAAGAGCGCACCACTTGGGTTAAATGCGCATGTTCGTGGGGGCGACCGCTCCTGGACGCCCGGAACGCGATGGGCTCCAGACATGTCTTCAAGTGGAAGAACCAGAGGGGATCAGACGGCAAGACTGCCGGGTCCATCCAGTGTCGTATGGCGCCGAAGGGTTTCTGCGACGTGGGTGCCGAGGCCCTAGAGACTTTCGCTGTTGCAGCGACGCGGGCGCCGCGGCGCCTTCTGTCCCTCGGGGCGGCGCGTCGCCCAGACTGGTTTGCCGCGCAGTGGATGTCGAGCAGGCGTTCCTGCAGGGCATGCCCTGCGCCGAGATGCAGGGGCAAGGGGGTGCGCCCCGCGAGGCGAACGTCGCCCGGCCACCCGGCAGTGCTGCCGTCCTCTGGCAGGCGCCCAGCTGCGAGAGCTACGGCGAGCAGACTGAGTGCTGACGCCGAATCGTACCGGGCACGGGCTGCAAGGATGCGTCTCGAGTCTGTTCTACGCAGCTCACCGGGGTCGCGCGCGCGCCAGAGTGCGGCGCCAAATCCGCCCGCCCGGCGGGGCCTGGAGCTTGAGTTCAAGCATGAGACGTCGGGTGCTTGTGGCGCCGGCGCCTCGGAGCTAGTAGCTAGTGCTCGCGTTGTCCGTGCGCGTCGACGATGTGGAGATCGCCGGGCGCGAGGGGCATGTCGACTGGCTGACCGGCCATGTCGAGGGTGTCTTCTGCAAAATGAAGGGTGTTTGTGATGATATCACCATTTGCGGCGTGCGCCGGCGCCGCGGTGCCGATGGCGCCGCGAGGCTCGACCGTCGACGCTCTGCGCCGATCAGTCGCGTCGACCTGGCTGAGGCCGAGGCTGACGAGCCGGCGGAGGTCAGCGTCCAGATCTCTTCGTCTCCCTCCTGGGGGCAGCGGCCGACCCCCTGCTCGCCCGTCGCCGCGTTGTCGCGTGCGTCGTCGTCTGGCAGAGAGCCAGGAACAGACAAGCTGCTCATCCGACGCGCGATGCAGCTCAATTCAGTTATTCTGGCCGCTCAGAAGGAAGAGGTGCGCGCCGCCTTTCCAGCCGCGGGGTTCGCCGCGCGACTCGGCGCGCGCGGCGACGGGTCGTTCGAAGACGGGGTGCGGCATGCGGGGGCCGTGTTCGCGCGTCTCGGAAATCGCCGCCGCGCTGGCAGACAGTTGTGCCACTTGTTGGACGCAGTGAGCCGATCGCGCAAGCTAGTGTGCAGATTCTCGGTCGGCTCCGGGCGGCTCGCGGCGTGCAGTGCAGCCGACGGACTGCAGTCGCGCCTCCTCGCGATGCGCGAGACGGTGCACGGCCCCGCCTGTGCCGTGGCGATCAGGGGACTGAGGGGTGAGGGGGGTTGCGCGATCTCTGCAGATCTCGCTGTCGACAGCGTGCCCATCTTCGGCGCCCTGCCCATTGACCTGGTGTGGCCGCCCTCCGAGAATAACGTGGCAGGCCATCTGTGGTGGTTATTTCACCAACGACCTGCCTCGCACCAAGCGGAGGACCTCCTCTGGTGCGGCAAGGGCAGCATGGGCTGGCAGCTCATGCTCAGTGTGATGAACGGCCAGATCAGCTATGACCACGACGCGGTCAAGTTCAGCGACGAGAAGTCGAAGACCGCCCCGAGCTCCCAGCGCAGTTCCCTCACGAAGCAGTGAAGAGGCGACTCGTGTGACTGTGACACAGGGTCGACCACCGTAGCGCCGCTCGCCGGTACACGTGTCGACGTGCCCCAGTGGCCGTGAGTTCGCCGAGTTTCGCCAGCGTTCCTGGTCAATGATAACGTGGTAGTTGGCCATTCGCTTGAGGGTTGCCCCATCTGGTTGTGTCAATTGCGCGGCGGCAGTGATTTAGCCTGTTCTGTGCAGTAATTTTTGCAGGCGGGCTTTCTTGTTTTCACGAGTGCGGTCAGTAGAGCGCTCTCAGCATCAAGTTTCACCAGCGAGGGCACGACGGACCTTTTTGACCGTCAGACTCGAAGGGTACCTGCCTTGCTCGTCTCACCCCGTCCCCGACGGCCCCATCCGCTGCCATGTTAGCCTGCAGCGTTCCGTGCTCGCCCTAGATGCGCTTTGAATACACCTTTACCCAGCACCAATCTTTCCCATCCGCTTCTACATCCGATTGGCTAGTTTCCTCCTCTTCTTCCACTTCTTCCTCCTTCTTCCTCCCTCCTCCTCCGTCCTCCTCCCTCCTCCCTTCTCCCTGCTTCTGCTTTTTTCCGAACAAAATTCGGTTTTGTGATCTGTCCACAGAGTCGTTCTGGATCCAGCTTTGGCGACGAGGGCGCCCCTGGAGGCCTAAGCAAGGTCCAGAACGCCTGAAAACGTTGATCTTCGATACTCTTCCTCTTGATTTTCGTCCCTTTTCACGTAGCTCCTTCACTCTTTTTCGGGTGTGCTTCCATTCACAAGGTTTGCGTGTCTTGGGTGACAGGGAACGCTCCCTACTCATCGGAATGATCGTGTTTGTGCCGCTCGCGGGCTGCCGTTGATCTGCCCCGCTGTCGGCCAGTCATTCCAGCGTTGCCGCTGGTAGGTGTTCAATGCGCATCCGAGAGCTATTTTTGTTGTCCCGGGACATCCGGCGTCGTCCTCGAATTTCACAACGTGGTTCACTTCAGGCCTGGCCCGCGTCTGGGGGACCAGCCCCCCACTCCGAGTCGCCATCCGACGCCTCGGGCGGGGCCCAGCGAGGGGCCCCGGGGGGCCGAAGATCGGCAACCGCCCTCCGCCGTGTTTTTTCCGTTTTTCCTCGCGGCGCGGGGCTGTCGGGCTTTCGGGCCATCGCTCGGGCCACCCACGGCCGATCGTGACGATCCAGGCACACCCCGAACGCCCTCTGCGAGGCGCAGCTGCTGGAAGGCGTCCCCTAATTATCGAGGAGGCCTCCAGAAACCGATGAGGACGCCCGAAACCCTCCTCAGGATGTCAGGGCATGTCACTGCTCACACCCAGACCCGACGTGATGCTTTTCTCATCACGTAGACCCCAATGTGGGAGCCCTTCCCGGGGACCGTTGTTTATCCCGAGTCGTTTTTTGACGGTCCCGAGGCATGGTAAGTAAGAGCCCCATGGAGCATGGTCCCGAGGTACGGTCAGGGACGCCGGGTAGGTCTTTGAGGAAACCCAGAAGAGGCGCCAGAGGAGGAGGAGGGGGCGGAAGTGGATGAGACAGAAGGATGAGGCGGCCTGGAGGAGGAAGGGAAGAGGAGGAGGAGGAGGAAGAGGAAGAGGAATATGTTAATGATGATGATGATGCTGCTGATGATCATGCTGATGATGATGCTGATGATGCTGATGATGATGCTGATGGTGCTGATGATGCTGATGATGCTGATGGTGATGATGATGATGATGCTGCTATTGCTGATGACGATAGTAATCATGATACTGCTGATGATGCTGCTGATGATGCAGCTGATGATGATGATGATGATTCTGATGATGCTGATCATGCTGATGTTGATGATGCTGATGCTGATGCTGCTGATGATGATGACGATGATGAGAGTGCGTGCACAGTAATGACGACACGGGGGCCGTACAGTGACACGAGTAGGGGGAAGGTAGCAAGAGCGTCGCGTGCCTCGCCCGTCCCGTGCTCATAGCCTTCTGTTGTTCAGGAGGTTCGCGCGCGCCGCCCGCCGCCGCCACTCCAGCCCGTGCATGCCAAAGTGGCTCGCGGACGCTGTGCTGGAGGCTGCGCGGGAGACGCTGCGTACGGCGGGCACCGCGAGCCTGGTGTGGGCTGGGCAGACCGCGCAGGTGTGCCCCGACTGCACCTGCACTCCCAGCCTGGCGTGCCCTGCCCTGCAGTGCCCGCCCTGCACGCTCGGGGGCGCGGCCTGCCCGAGCTGTCCGGAGGTCAGCTGCCCGAGGGCGGCGCCCGACCTCAGCAGGTGGTGGATCGTCGCGGTGGTGGTCGCGGGCCTCTTCGGGCTGGCGACGGGCTGCTGCGCGGGTGCCTTGTTCGGCTCGGGCCTTCGCCGGGCGGTGCATGGCCGATTCGAGGCCGATCGCCCCAGGTCGCTTGATTCTGGTGTGGTACGGGGGCGGGGAGGCGTACTGGCACGAGCGCCTCCTGCTCTGCAGGGTGCGGGGAACGACTTGGGTCATCGTCACTCCTGATGGCGATGTCTATCCAGAGGATATCCGTGCCCTCGGAGGCACGCCTTGCCTGCAAGGGTCTGTGCCACCGGCGATCCCCGCCAACGCTCTACTGTACAGGTTCCCGCCGCTTGGCCAGCTGTACACGGCGGCTGAGTGGCGTCAGGTCTTCGACGACGGGATCGCGACCGCACGATGGAGAGGGCGGGGCTGGGCATCGACGACGACGCTGCTGATGCTGAGTCGGGTGCTGTGCGTGATCGGGTGGGTCAACATGGCTGGACCGCCGGGGCGGGCCTGCCGGCTGGACCGCCGCCAGCTGGAGCCGGCGCCGGGTTCGGAGCTCTGGTGGCAGACGTGGGCGCGGCCCCCGCGGCCGACGGCCAGGCCGCCCCGCCTGCTGTGCCGCTCGCCGCCGTGGGTGGGGGCGCCGCCATCCCAGGGGCTGGGGCAGCCATGGGGGCAGTGGTGGCGCCCGGAGGCGGTCCCGCCCCTGGCATGCAGTGGATCGCGGTGGCGAACGACGGCCAGCCGGGGGCGCCCTCCATCGGGTCCGACTGGAGCGTGGACGCCACGGCCAGTGTCATGGGCAAGTTCGCGCTGGTCAAGCTTGGGACGGCCACCCTCGTGCTGGAGAGCATCGCGGTTGGCAACAAGAAGAATGTGCTGGTCTCGAGGATGGGCGAGCTCGAGCAGGCGGTGGACCGAGCTTCTGGGCCTGGTCTGCCAGGAGCTGGCCTCGGACCTCAAGCGAATGGAGACGGGCCGGCGGCTGCAGTGCCGCTCAAGTCGGCTGACGCTGGAGTGCTGCCCGTGCTGTGCGACCAGACGGGCCAGAGGCTCAGGGCCTACACTAATGCCGTCGGGCTGCTGGAGGAGCCACGGTTCGAGGACTTCCCGGTGGTTGGCCCAAGAACGACTCTCTGGCTGTGCAAGTTCATCAGAGATCAGGGGAGCGTGCCCCGCACCAGGACCGAGAAGTGGATGCGAGACGCACACGTGCCGGACAACGACAGAGTCAAGCACGAGCATGGCAGTCTCATGGAGATTCTTGAGACAGCGCTCACATATGACCAGCTGGACGTGTCTGCCCTCGCCTCTTTCGAGATCCTGTCGAGGAGGATTCAGCTGCTGGAGGAGGCGTGCGCGTCCAACCCGAAGGCGCCGCGGTTCGAGGGGAGCGAGCACTTCCAGGGCCTTGGCAGGAAAGTCGCGGCCGTGGCGCCGCTACTCACCTCGCGCGTGGCGTTGCAGCTCCAAGGCGAGGCTGCGATCCAGAAAGAACGACGCAAGGCCCGCGAGGAGGCGGCCCTTGCGAAGAAGGGCTAGCCGCCCCGCGGTATTTCGATTTTCGCGGCCCGACTTGGGTCGCCTCCGAGTTGCTGTCTTCTGCGAGGGCTGCGACGAGTTTTTGGCCAAGGCATGGCGGGCGGTCGACAGCGTGACCTGCTACCCCTGCCTCGACTTCATGGTTGGGAAGGCCCTCGTAGCTCACTCAGTCGTGCCGTTCAACAACGTATTTGCCGGCGTGCTTGGATCGACAGGCGCGCCGACGAGAATTTTTTGTGGTCTCAACGTGCTCGGGGGGTTTGGTGACAAGTCGCCCAGCGGTCCTGGTGGTGAGCAGGCTCGTGCTGCTGCTGCCTGGGCTCGTGAAGCGGTTGAAGCTGTGCCCATGCCTAAGGAGAGACCCGCCCCGCAAGAAGCCCTCGCGGCGCTTCTGCGTACAGACGCCCGCTGTGGCGACAGCGAGTGTGCCGGGAACGTTGCACCGTTTGGCTCGGCTTCAGTGTCTCCGCCGAGTCGCGACCTGCACGGGGTGGACATCTACAACTTTCTGCCCTCGGACGCGTCGCACAAGTTTAAGCGGTTTCGCGACGCCATCCTTCTTAGTGATGAGGAGTGTGCGTTGCGTATCAAGATCGAGGGACTGCCCAATCCTTATTTTGACCCAGTGCTGGAGGCACATCCTGCGAAGTGGGAGGGTTTTTGTCGGGATCTGCGTGACAGGCGACTGGTGCGCTGGACTCGAACCTACGAAGAAAGGGTGGGATTGTTCTTTGTTCACAAAAAGAGTGGTGAATTACGACTCCTATGCGATGCACGAGGGGCCAACATACGATTTGACATCCCATACTCAATGCATCTTGCTACTGGCAACTCGCTCAGCCGTCTTCAGTGCGCATCTGACCAGACCATCTTTCTGGCCAGCCTTGACATTAAGGACTACCTCCACGAGCTCAGGATCGATGAGGAACTCTCTCAGTACCTTGCTCTACCAGCAGTCCGTGCCGCGGCTGTGGGGGTGGAGAGCATCAATGGTATCAAGGATGGTCCCAGCGAGCTCTCCTACCCGGCTCTGCAGTCACTACCGATGGGCTTTTCGTGGGCAGTGAGGGCGGCCCAACTCGTCCGTGAGGAGCTCCTGCGGCGGGCTGGTCTTCCTCCAGCTCGCCTTCTTCGTGACTGCATACCTCCTCCCTTGCTTGAGGGGGAACCTGTTCAGCTGACATGCGTCGACAACTTCGGGGTCTTCGGCTGTGACAAGGCCAAGGTTGAGGCCACGCATCGTCAGGCTCTCGAAGGCATTCGACACGCAGGTTTTCAAGTGCATGAGATCGAGCAGGTCAGCACTTCTTTGGACATCGTGGGAGTGCACCTCGATGGGGGCAAGAAGGTGGTCAGAGTATCCCCCGCCAGAGCGTGGCAACTGTGCTCTGGGCTGCGCGCTCGTGCACGACGCGGGCGCTGCGCTGGGAGGGAGATGCAATTCGCACTTGGGCACCTCTGCTTCGCTTGCTTGCTTCGGCGCCCTTGTCTGTCCTGCATCGCGGCCTCCCCTGCCTTTGCCGAGGCTGCAGGAGGGGAGCCAAAGGACCTCTGGCGGAACGTCAAGAGGGAGCTCCTCATCGCCGCTGCCCTCCTTCCGCTGGTCTACGCCGACATCGGGGTGGGCTGGCTCGACCAGGTGGTGGCGACGGATGCTTGCGATCCTGGGCTTGGCGCCTGTGCTGCTGAGTGGGGCTCTCCAGATATGCGAATCACGGGCAGCTCCGACGAGCGCTGGAGGATCAAGAAGGAGGCGAGGGGCGCCAAGCTCGGGTTCGAGCACGTGGTTCGTTGCGGGCGCTGGCGGCGCAGCAAGGCGCTCCTGCTGGTGGACAATGTGTCACGCGCGCTGGCCATGCAGAAGGGCCGCTGTCGCGATCCAGCCCTCGTGGGCCAGCTTCGTCAGATGACCGCGCTGCAGCTCGCCACTGGGCTGCGGGTGCGGTGCCTCTGGGCCCCGTCCGAGGTTAATCCTGCTGATCAACCTTCGCGGCTTTGGGAACCTGCAGCTGCTGCTCTGGGCCATGCATGGCGTCCTCCTCCTGGGCTCCCCCATCCTGATGACGGGCGTAGCGTCGAGGGTGCATGCGACGAGGCGCAGAGTGGCGACAGGCATCGCGACACGCAGCGTGACGCAGCGGGTCGAGGCGGGGCCGGCGATGCATCTGGATCTTCCCGACCTTCGAGTGCGCGAAGCTGTGCCATTGGAAGACGGGCAGTCGCCTCAGGCTTCGCGGTAAGGCCCGTCCAGTTCGAGGACTACCGCAGGCGGATCGGGGAGTTCTACGAGTACCCCCGCCGCCAGGGCTTGGACGTCAGCACCTTGGACTCGCTGGAGACGGCCCTCCTGGACTGGGCGGACTGGGCTGAAGTGGTCGCTGATCCTGGGGCCTGCGGACAGCAACGAAGGCCCCACCAAGACGGGCGTCTACGTCGAGAGCGTGACGATGGACCACGAGAACCTGCAGTTCTCGGCCACTTCTTCAAGCTGTACCGCCAGGAGAAGGGGGCGAGCGACTCGCTGTGGGGCCTGACGCAGACGGAGCTCGGGGCCATGGTCGCAAAGGCGCTGAAGGTGTGCCGGCTCGAGGGCCTGGGGATCGCCCCCTACGGCCTTCGGCGCGCAGGCCAGTCGTGGGGCGTCATCACGGGCAGGAGGTCTCAGGGGAAGGTCCAGCGTCGCGGGCGCTGGGCCAGCATGAGCTCTCGCATCAGGCACGAGAGGTCCAGCAAGGTCAACTTCCTGCTCGAGGGCCTAGACGACAGCGTCCAGGAGTACCTCTGGCTCTGCACGGCGCACCTTGGAGACTTCCTCCTCGGCGCGGTGAGCGCGCCCCGACCGCCTGGTTGGAGCGAGGGGGCCCTTTCCTCAACGTCGTCGCTGGTTCCGAGGGAGTCGGCAAGACGGTAGCGAGGTGTGGCATCTCGTCGCCAGAGATACAGCTCGAGCCTGAGATCGACATTTTTGCGCTTAGAATAATAAAGGCACTTCTTAAGTTGATCCGCTGGGGCCGCGTGCAGGGAATATCCGTGGCTACGCCATGCCGCTCATTCAGTATCGCTAGAGTGCTGTTCGTTTTCCTGAGTACCGTTCATGATCGGGAACCCCTCCTCTGCTATGCTCTGGTTCGTCCAGGTTTTGAAGCGCATCGCAGAATCCAAGTTCGCTGAGTCTGTTGTTTTCGACCTGGGCCAGTTCGGGGCCGACTTCAGGAAGCGGACCACCATCTTGTATCCTCAGATCTCGACAACTCCTTCCTGATCCGAAGATGTGTGGGCAAAGTGATATATGCTCTAGGTCAGGAAAACCCCGCGACATCTTGAATGGCAAAGAAAATGATGGATGGAAGACCGACCGTGCTAAACATTACCCACCTCGTTTCTGCGCTGCTATCGCATGCACCTTCTGATTCCTGTGGGCCCAGAAGCACGTTGCGAGTTCAGTGGCACGGACGACCACCCCTCCAGGATCGGCCTCTCCCTCCCGTGCCCGCCCGAGGCCAAAACATTTCTGAGATTCGGGACCTCTTAAGATTGGGGACATAGAGCAGTAGAATTCTATGCGGATTGGTGGCAAGCCTGTGATGAATCGCTTTGGGATATCATTCTATTGGCCGAGTAAATCGTCATGAGAGTGCGTGCACAGTAATGACGACACGGGGGCCGTACAGTGACACGAGTAGGGGGAAGGTAGCAAGAGCGTCGCGTGCCTCGCCCGTCCCGTGCTCATAGCCTTCTGTTGTTCCCGACCCGACCCGCCCTGGGACATAGAGCAGTAGAATTCTATGCGGATTGGTGGCAAGCCTGTGATGAATCGCTTTGGGATATCATTCTTTTGGCCGAGTAAATCGTCATGCTAATGATGATGATGATGAAGATGATGATGATGCTGATGCTTCTGATGATGATGCTGATGATGACGATGATGATGATGCTGACGGCGATACTGATGCTGATGATGCTGATGATGACGATGATGATGAAGACGATGATGATGCTGGTGATGCTGCTGATGATGGCGATGATGCTGATGATGATGCGGATGCTGATGATGATGATCATGACTATGATGATGCTGATGATGACGACGATGATGATGATGATGCTGATCATGATGATGATGCGGCTGATGATGATGAGGATGATGATGATGATGCTGATGCTGATGATGATGATGCTGATATCGATGATGATGCTGATGCTGACGATGCTGATGATGATGAGGAGGATGATGATGATGATGATGGTGATGATGATGATGGTGATGATGGTGATGATGCTGTTGTTGGTGATGCTGCTGATGCTGATGATGATGATGCTGATGAGGCTGATGATGCTGCTGATGCTGATGGCGATGTTGATCATGATGATGAGGATGCTGCTGATGATGATACTGTTGCTGATGGTGATGATGATGATGATGATGATGCTGACGCTTCTGGTGCTGCTGATACTGACGATGATGCTGCTGATGATGCTGATGATGAGGATGTCGATGGTGATGATGATGATGATGATGCTGCTGATGATGATGATGATGATTGATGATGATGATGATGATTATGATAATGATGATGATGCTGATGCTGATGATGATGATGCTGATGCTGATGATGATGACGATGCTGAAGACGATGATGATGCTGTCGCTGATGCTGATGATGATGGTGGTGATGATGATGATGTTGATGTTGATGATGCTGATGATGATGATGAATAATATGATGATGATGATGCTGATGATGATGATGCTGCTGATGCTGCTGATGATGATGATGATGATGATGATGATGATGATGATGATGATGCTGCTGATCCAGATAATGATGCTGATGATGAGGCGGAGGAGGATGAGGAGCAGAAGGAGGATGAGAAGGAATGAGGAGCCGTCTGAGGAGGAAGAGAAGGAGGATGACAGGGAGGAAGAGGAGGAGGAGGAGGAGGAGGAGGAGGAGGAGGAGGAGGAGGAGGAGGAGGAGGAGGAGGATGGAGAGAGGAGGATGAGGAGGAGAAGATGAGGGAGGAAGGAGGAAGGAGGAGGAGGAGGAGGAGAGGAGGAGGAGGGGAGGTGGAGGAGGAGGAGGAGGAGGAGGAGGAGGAGGAGGAGGAGGAAGAGGCGTGAGAGAAGGAGGAAGAGGCGGAGGAGGAGGAAGCGGAGGATCATGACGCTGATGATGATGATGATGATGATGATGATGATGATGATGATGATGACGCTGATGCTGCTGATGCTGCTGATGATGATTATGATGATGCTCATGGTGATGTTGTTGATGATGATGATGATGATGATGATGCTGATGCTTATGCTGGTGTTGTTGTTGGTGATGCTAATGATGCTGATGATGATGCTTATGATGATGATGCTGCTGATGATGATGATGATGATGATGATGATGATGATGATGATGATGATGATGATGATGATGATGATGATGATGATGATGATGATGATGATGATGATGATGATGATGATGATGATGATGATGATGATGATGATGATGATGATGATGATGATGATGATGATGATGCTGATGATGATGATGATGATGATGAGGAGGAGGAAGAGGAGGAGGAGGAGGAGGAGGAGGAGGAATGGTGCAGGAAATGGAGGTCGAACGTCAACTTGCCTAACTTTCATGCTGCAGCCGATTCTGCTCAGCCTCAAGAACAGCCCTCGGGGGACCCGACGGGTGGGGGTAGCAGCCCGACTTCATTCTCGCTAGTATCTATGTGCCCTTGCGGGTTTGGCAGCACACTCACAGAAGCTGTCGGGGGTCGGTGGTGCAACTGAACCCACACGTGTTGCAAACTATTACACAGTACTTACTCCAATATTGCAGCGTGTGGGATGAATGGCGCCCTTTGCCCGCCACAGCCTTGGTCCCTCGGATCGGCTCGAATTCCGAGCTCGCCTCGGGCCACAGGGGGACTCACACGCCTGAACATCGAATCATGATTCGAGACGCACGGGCACGCTGTGCAGTAAAAACTTAGCACCCACACGACACCACCGATGCCCCGAAGCCCTTGAAAAAAACCCTCACCAATTTAGGAAGGCGTTTCACTCTTTCAACCGTCGGGCGCTCAGAGGTCCAAGGATCCGAACTTTGGACAGCCCCAGAGCCCGACGCGCGTGCCGACATATCAAAAACGTTTCGGCGCCCCTTCTGTCGGTGCGGCGGTCAGTGAGCACGAACTCAGTCCAAGACTTTTCTGCCACTCTTCCCGCTAGCGCATCGGCACATTCGTTGTCGTACACTAGGAAGGCCTTCTCACGATCACGCAGCGTGGCCGCCTCTTGGTGGGAGGCCACCCATACCACTTCGACACCTGCTGGCTCTCTGGCTCGCAGTGCCTTCACAATCCTGGCCCGAAGGTCAGCATTGACCCCCCCCCCTCGAGGCACCCCAAACAGAATTTCCGACACTTGGCCCAGGAGTTCAAAAGGGGGAGGTGGTCTCTTACAAGTCTGAGTCGGCCTGGGGCCGCGTCCAAAGCCTTGGCGAAGGCGGCGACCTCCGCGCGCGGCACGTTTCGCCCCCTTCCTTGGAGGGTGGCCCCGAAGCCCCGGGCCGACCTCCGCTGCTGCCCCTCGGGGGCCAGCGCAACAACTCCAGAGCCAACCCGTCGACGCCGAGGGCCATCCGAGAACTTCCCACCCGGCCCATCCCCAAGCGCGGTGGCGAACCCTTCGGCGTTTCTGGGGACGTCCTGGGCCGAACCGAATTGAAACACTAAGAGAGGTCCACCATACCACGTCGGGACCGTCTCCGCCCTACTCGGGATCCCTTGGAGCCAACATTCGGAGAGCTCTCGGAGTTCGCCCTCCCCTGGGACGAAAGCACGTCGGATTTCTCGAAATCTTCGTGGCAAACGTTGGCCTCGCACTCCCAAATACGGTGGCATAAACTCTCAGATGCCTTCTGGCACCTTGGACAGAGGAGGCTGGGGACGTTGTACCCCGCCTGGCTCAGCCTCTCGCGCGTCCACTGGCCGCCCGTTACAGCCACCACGTTCAGCGCCCAGTCGTCGTTCGTGTCGTCGACTCTGAGGCGCTTCAGCTCGCTGCACACCTGAAACATATCGGTGCCGCCCTATAGGTCGATACTGCCTAAGTGGTGCGACGCCATGCTCCAGAGCTGCCTGTCCACCGTGTCCTCTACGCCGTCTAGAATACCCGTGAACTCTCTATGGGACCGCTTGAACTCTGCATCCACACAAGAAGGGATCGTCCATGGTCCATGTAGCTTGACCCGATCCCCACTGCACAGGGGAATGCGGTGTCCATCAACTATCCATCAACGTTGACATTGTAGCTCCGATCGGTCCCTTCACCAGTCTCCATCGTCGCGAGCCCGATACTAGCAGCCTCTTCCGAGTGCTGTCCCATGCCAATGCAATAAGTGCGTGAAGTTCTGGATTATCTTGCCACATCTGAAGCCATGAGCGCATGTGCTCACGACGCATGGAATTCGCAGATCTTTGTTCATGGAGACTATAGCGAATGCTGTGGTCAAACACCGTCGTGTCCCCGAACCCACTGATCATTGCGCCGCTTGTCGCCGTAACTCCGCCATCATGTAGCCAGGTACTCCATAAGCTTGATGCGCGTACTGTGGTCTAGCTCACGTGGCCCACAGCGAAGACGTGATGCTTCGTAGCTTGGCGTGCCTTCTCATCCTGCGTATTACTTCGATTCGTTTCTTCGCCTTCGCCTTACGCTCATTAGCCTTTCTACAAGATCTGCGTCTTCCAGCCGTGGTGTCCACCCCGAGATCGACCGCTTCCAACGTGGATGTGACTGGGATACCTGTTTGCCGAAGTCCTTCTGCGACTTGATTCGCAATACTCGTTATATATCCCGAGACAACCGCCTTGTCGCTGATGACCCAACCAGCCTGCTGAAACTGCTCACATATGTGACTCCCAACCTTGATCATGGTATCACTGACCTGCTTCTCTGTGCCTTCTGTTCGTATAACCGTATATTCCACGAACGTGCGCAGCATAATCTTCATACCATATAGTCGATGGGCTCTCTCCAATGTAGGTCCCAAAACGGCCTTAGCAATACGACCGCCCTTCAGAGACCCTGCAACGATGCCTCGCTGCGACCGTATCTGATGCGAACTCCAACTTCGATCTTCAAGTACACGCGGGGCCAATCACATCTGCAACTCCAGCAGTAACACCACTGCTGGGAAGCCTGGGGTCAGGGCCGCCGCGCACAAGTTCGTAATATCAAGGCTGTCGGAACGTTTCTCGATGTCCAACAGCAACGTCGACGATGCAATCTGCAGCTCTCGTGCTGATTCATCCAGTAGAGTCCGTACTAAAGCCGCCTGTAGTGCCGACGACCCGCGTATCGTTGTATCCCAATGCTCATCTGCGTCGTATGTCCATTGGAGCATTTCTGAACTGCGCACCTAGCCCTGATATTCTATCTCCTCCACGTGGCTTCGGAGCTACCGCACCTATGACCAGAACTAGCTGACTTGGCATGCAATGCTCTCTTGTGGACGTACTGTAGGCCTGATCTGATCTTCGCTTGGTCGTAGTCCTTGCTGCTCCGTACCCTCTGCCACTTGTCAGCTCGGTAGTCCATCATCTCGCTGGGTGAGGACAAAACGTTCAAGTCCGAAACAATTGCATCAGGTTTATCCAGCACCCTCTGGCATATCGATGCAGAACTCCTGGCGTAGATTTCTACATCCTTGTAGCCCACGACTGGAAGCTTCTCCGAGAGTTCGATAGTGACCGACCCAACACTCTGCTCTTGAACTTCTCGGCCTGCTCCTGTAGCTCCTGGATCTCTCCGTTATTCAATTCCGTGATTGTGTTAATCATTCCGAGCCAACATTTGAATTTATCTTCCGCGTGGAACATCTTAAACTTGTCATTGGTGCCATCCGCCGCCAACAACTCCCCAATCTCAGTATACCAACTCCAAATCGGATACTCGTCTCGCTCGCCTTAATACTCCCGCTCTGACCAAGAGTGTCGTACAGATATTCCACCATTCCGAAGCAGGATCACGGAGATGTGGTCGGTCGGGGGTAGCGCGCGTTTGCTCCCAAGTGACACGATGTCCCTGGGCTCGTCCGCGCACTTTAGATGCCTCCGTGTCCTGCAATTGGTGGTGGACGATCGGAGCCTCCTCCACTGGTGACCCATGCTGCGTAGTCCTGAGTTAGCCGATCCCTGCACATCGTGTCCCTATCCAGGAGGAAGTGCGGGACAGGTTCCCACCTCCTCCTCTACGCTCTCCCTCGTCGAAAGCTGGAGCTCCTCGAACGCCTTCTGCAGGTGCTCCTGCAGCTGCGCGCATCTCTTCTCCTTCGCCTCCTTCAGTTTCATCTGCCTCTTGCTCTTTTGGTTGGCCTTCGTCGTGGGTCTCGCCACAGTGGGGAGTGGTTTCGCCGTCGTCAGGGTCCTGTTCCACCAACCCAGCTTTGCACACTTAACATCCAACAGCATTCCGGCATGCGTCTTCCACGGCACCTCTGGGACTATCGACAATCTTATTGCCTCCGCCATCCCCGTCTTCGCGATCACGTAGTCGATCAGGGTGCCTTTGTTGGGGTCGCAAGTCACTGAGCCGTTGGTGGGGATCGCCAGTTGCCCGCCCAGTTTAGCCAACTGCTTTGTATTGCGCCACTCATCTGGATGTGCGTTCCAGTCACCCACGACGATCCACGGCTCCTTCACTAGGTTGAGGAACGCTCCCAACCTGATGAGGGTTCGCTCAATCGGACCCTTGAACTTGTGGCCAGAGAGGAGGTAGCACGAAGCGACCAACACATTCCCCACCCGCGTGTGCCACAAGATTGGCGCGAAGCCCTGGAAACAATCCCGATCTGTGCGATGCCGCTCCGCTTGTCGTGAACCTTCGAAGGAGGTGGTCGCCAATCTTTTCTGCGTAATGATACACTCGTCTCCTGAAGGTTCCGTAGCCAATCTGCCTGTGTATGTCGCCTCCGTAGCAACAAGTTTCCAACCATCTCGACTTAAGTCCGACTTCGCCTCTTGTAAGCGTTGTCCGAGAAGATTTGTCTCTGTGAAACCTATGGTGTCATATTGCTTCGCCTGCTTTCTCATGAAGGACCTCGCCACTGGTTCCCATTCTGAACCGTTGCTGAGTAATATCTTAGAATTTGTAGATGCCTCGTTGCACGATGCGGTAGTTGCTTCACACCAATGTAAGCAAGTGTTGCCCACGCTTAGCAGGAGCAGCAGGAGCCGAAGAAGAAAAAGATGCGGCCCCTTTGCCTGCCGCCTTTGGCCCTTTCTGCAATCTTCTTCCGCTCGGCTTCCAGAGCTGCTTTGCGGACCTCCTCAGCCTCCTCAGCCAACACCTCTGGGCTGTCGTCGTTTGTCGGGTTGGCCGCCTGGGCTGGGGTAGGTGGAGGAGCCGCATCCTCCTTGTACTCCGTGGTGCCGCCAGTGCCCATTGATGCCTGGCCCTGCTCGCCCGTGCGCTGCCTCTTGGTCGCGCCTGAGCGTATATCCTTGACCTCCGCGAATTGCTCGTGAACCGCCGCCTGTACCGCCGAGACCTGATCACACTTCTCTTTGCTGGCGGCCTCCAGCTTGCGCAGGGTGCGCTGCTCCTCCTCGTTGAATGAGCCGATGCCTTTGAATACGTCGTCGTCCACTGCGAAGACGGCCCTCTTGCCGTCCGCGGTGTAGCCCTGAGGAACGTGCTGGATATTGGCCTCCGCCGCCACGCGCGCAACTGCCTCAGTGTGGCGTGCTCCGGAGACGCACGCTTCGTCGCCTCTCTGGCCACCCCCAGTTTGGACTCCGCCTCAATCTCCACCTTCGTCGCGCGCTCCAGAAGCTCCGCCTTCCACTTGAGCTCCTTAAGACGTCGTGGTATAGTACTCCTGGAGAGTGCGCTGCACCACTTGGTTCTCGTCATATTTCTCCTGAGCCCGCTGCAGCATGGTGACCTCCTTGGCAAACTGCGGGAGCATCGCCAGCTGCTTCAGGAGCGCCTTCGGACCGTTCGTGGCGGTGGATGTGGAGCCCCACGTATCCCTGTCGTTCTTAAAGCACTGGTAGTGCTGTGTGCGTTGACGTTCAGGCTGCCACGGTGGTTTTGTTTTTCTGCGAAGCAGATCGAAACCGCGTCCGCACTTCGCACACTTGTCATTGTTCCCTGTGAATCGGAAGTTGAACGCCCAGTTGCCGCACTCACAGACCGTGAAATCGCTTTTCCTCGCCATCTTCGTGTGGGAGGCATGATGCCTGAAAAGGGACGGAACCCCGTCCCAGCGCGCAGTGGGGCCGCTGCTCCCCTGTGCCGACTCAATCGCTCGAGCCAAAATGGATACGGATACGGAGGAGGAGAAGGAGGAGGAGGAGGAGGAGGAGGAGGAGGAGGAGGGAGGAGGGGGAGGGGGAGGACGCGCACCCAGTGAAGGACGTGTCATCGGACGCCCGTCCCCCAGCTGCGGGCCACAGGCAGACCTCAGTGCCTGGGCAGGGCCACTCCCTCACAAGCAATGGACTCCAAACACGAATTCTCTATATCTTGGAAGGGGATGGTATTCCCGACCAGCATCAGCATCAGCATCAGCATCAGCATCAGCATCAGCATCAGCATCAGCATCAGCCTTATTATCATCATCATCATCATCATCATCATCATCATTCTCGTATCATCATCATCAGCTTCAGCCTCATCATCATCAGCATCATCGTCATCATCAGCAACATCATCATCATCAAAACCATCATCAAAATCATCATCATCATAATCATCAGCATCATCATCATCACCACCATCATCATCATCATCATCATCATCATCAGGAAGGGGGTGGCATTCCCCAACCTGGTAGTGTTCCACGTCGTGCTGCTGACGCACGTTCTGTATGAAACACTGCTGCATGGCGTGCTTCTAGCACTAGCTGCTATGCCGTCGGGCTCGACGCTGCAGCGTGAAATGCAATGAACTGCAAGAGATCAAAGACCGCCTCTGTGGTCCCCTCGGACTCGGCCGTCTGGCCGTGCAACTCCGTGATCTCCTTGGACGCTTAGCCCCATATCTGCTCGAAGGTGGGCGTCGCGTCGGGTTCGGCCATGTGGGCGTGCAGCTCCATGGTGTTCTCGGACGCGCAGCGCTGGGCCTGGTCGGAGGCGGGTGTAGTCTCGGACTCGGACTCGGCCGTCTGGGCGTTCTGCTTCGAGACCTTCTGGGAAGCGTGTCTCTCTGAATCGGCCGTCTTGGCGTTCAGCTCCGTGATCTTCGCGGATGCGTACCGCCGCGCCTGCTGAAAGGCGCGCGTTTGCCCGCGGGCTGCCGTCGCTTCAGACTTGGCCAACTGGCCATTTAGCTTGGTGATCATCTCGCACGCGTATCCCCGTTCTTGGTCGAAGGCGGATGTCGTCTCGGACTCGGCCACGTCGGCGTCCTGCTCGCGTGCCCTTGGGTCTGGTCGAAAGCGGACGTCGCCTCCGACTCCTGGGAGTTCAGCTCTGCGACCTTCCCCGACGCGTGACCCCGCGCCTGCTCGCCCACGCCATCCTCCACGCCGACACGGTAAGCTGCTCCTCATCGATACCCGCGGACTGCGGCGACCCCACCACGCCCAGCTCGAACAAGATGACGCCTTCCTGGCGGCCCGGGGAACTCCCCAGCGGCAGCGCGCAGCGGCGTGCTCCCGCCCTCCACGACGGCCTCGAGGGTGCACGCGGCGTGCCCAGTCGCCACCGCGGGCGGCTGCCTTGGGCCACCGGGCGGCGCCGAGTGGCGGGCCCAACTGGAGTGCGCGCCGGTCTCACGCGCCGCCGCAGTCTGGGCCGCCATGCCGGCGAGATGCGCCATGTCCGCGGCGACCATGATGGACGAATTGTGGGCGCCGAGCCGCTCGCTGAACCCCCAGTGAGCACTGAGGGAGCGGCAGAATACTTCAACCGTCCAGGCGAGCGCGGACGCGCGCGCTTCGCCGAGGGCGCCGCGCCGCTGCCGCCGAAGGCGCTGGACGAGCGCCCGCGCGCTCGCGGCCGCCCAAGCAGCGCTGCATCCGCAGCGTCCTGCGCGAAGAAAGGCCACTGGCGGGCGCCGGCGCTCGAGGGCCTGCCGTGAGCCTGACTCACTTGAACCAACATAGCTACGAGGGGGAGGAGGAGGAGGAGGAGGAGGAGGAGGAGGAGGAGGAGGAGGAGGAGGAGGAAGGAGGAGGAGGAGGAGGAGGAGGAGGAGGAGGAGGAGGAGGAGGAGGAGGAGGAGGAGGAGGAGGAGGAGGAGGAGAAATAGGACGAGGACGAGGACGAGGACGAGGTGGAGGAGCAGGAGGACGAGGAGGAGGAGGAGGAGGAGGAGGAGGAGGAGGAGGAGGAGGAGGAGGAGGCCGTCGTTGAGTAGCTGGCGAGGGGAAGGGCAGGGCACTCTTCCTGTGGCGGCCCCCCCTCCCCCAGCGGCCAGGCAGGTGCGGGAGCACACGCTCCTCGCCTACACCCTCGGGCTCCGCCAGCTCGTGGTGTGCGTGAACAAGGCGGGTTTGTGCGTACCCCCGCTTGGCGTCCGGTTTAACCGTCGCCGCCGCCCAGCTGAGCCACCCTGCCAGTTAGGGACCCAGCAGTGACAGGCCGAGGCCCAGGCCGTTTCCACTGGGAGTCAGGCTCATCATCACCACCATCACCACCACCACCACCATCATCATCATCATCATCATCATCATCATCATCATCATCATCATCATCATCATCATCATCATCATCATCATCATCATCATCATCATCGTCATCGTCATCATCATCATCATCATCATCCATTTTGGCTCATGCGGTGGCATGGGCTGCGGCTCGCAGCTGCCATCTGTTTCACGACTCTGCCTTCTAGTGCTAGCTGTCGATGGGCTCGCGCGGCCGCTCGCGCCAGCCAGTACCAGTGCCAGCAGCCATGGACGGACCCACGATGATGATGCACTTCAGGGAAATGCTGCGCTCCGAGATCAAGGAGCCGATGGCGAAAGATTTCGCGGACGTGAAGACGTCCATCGACAATGTACGCAGGGACGTTGAGAGACACGAGGGGCGCCTCAACAACATGGAGCAGGATATCAAGGACTTGCGACGGGACGTTCGGCGGCTCCCTCATCCACAGCGGCTTCCTCGGTCGGGCATCCGCGACGCTTCTCGGGGGTCGAGGGCGCGCCGGCACAACCGGTCGCGTCGGGGCCGAAGAAGGCTTGCGACAAGATGTGTGTGACTATTGGAGGTTGGGATCGGGACACACCCCACGACACCATCCTGAACGAAGCTCGTGCGTTCACCGACGCCATTCCCGACAAAGCAGAGGATGGGGTGTTCGTTCCGCTCAAGCGTGTCCTGTTCCTGAAGGTCCGTTTCACGTGTTCGGGGCGGATATGGGCCTGGGTCTGTTCGATGAAAGGGAAGCAGATCACTATGCCGCAGCCACGTCGCCTGGGTCGTCGCTTTTGGATCTCTGTGGAGAAGTCCTCGGGAGGAATTCGGCCGTCAATGATGATCTCAAGTGCGAAGAGGGGATGGCCGACAACCTAGGCGTGCAGGCGGCGGACCTCGAGCTGGACTACATTCGAGGCATCATCTGGTGGAAGCAGCACAGATTCGGCGAAATGGTGAGGACCACGGGCCTCATGAGCTTCAAGGAGTACGTCGCGGCTGACATCAGCGCCCACACGGGCGTGCACCTCAGCCTGGTCGAGTTCCAGGCCACGGTCAACGCGGGCCAATGACTGGACAAGGAGAGAACTCCGGAGGACTCCGAGGAGAAGATGTGCTTAAAGCTCATCAGCTGGAACGCTCAGGGCATTGCGAAGCATGGCGCCGAGTGCTTTGCAGCGACGCTGCGCGAGCAGCGCGACTACGACGTGGCCATCCTCCAGGAGGTCGGCTACTGGGGCAAGACCGCGAGGCTGGAGGCCGGCGAGGGCGACCTCTACCTAGTCGAACTGCGGGTCGAGGGGCAAAAGCAGATGGGGTTGCTGGTGCGCTCTCGGGACCGACTTTTTATGCGAGGAGATTTTCTGCCATGGAGGCGCTCGGCGGCGCGCCTATTTCGCATCCGCAAGAAGGACTATTTGATAGTATGCAGTCACTTTTTTCGAGGGCACTCCCTCAGTCAGTGCGAGGATTCCATGGGGGAGCTTTTCGACCTGATCATGATGGCACCGCCTGGGGCGTGCCCGATCGTGGGCGGGGGCGCGCAGACAGCCTTCCCCCCCCCGCAGGCGGACGAGGAGCGCTGGACTGGGGACTTCCCGGTCGGTCAGCGCCCGCGTCGCGCCGAGATTTTGACGAGACTTCTCGTGCAGCGCGACGTGGCGGCGGCGAACGCGTTCGCTGCGGCGGCCAGCGGACCCGCCTGCCACTGCGATTTCAAGCGCCCGCCAGCCCAGATCGACTATGTCCTGATACCCGCTCGCGACATCTGGAAGGTCAGCACCGCGCTCGAGGAGATCGCCGACAGCGTGCAATCCGACCGCGCGGCCATCAAACTGGAGTTCGCCCTCGGCACCAGGAGGCGCTATATCTGAAACGGAGGTCCCGCCGACCGCAACCCAGCGCCGATTACTTCCATGGCGGACGCAGTGTACCTGGCTGCCGCTGCCTGTGGCAGGGGCACGCCTGCGAGGAAGGTTCCCAAGCTCCCCGAGGGCCGCGAGTCCATGCAGGCGCTGCGGATGCTAGAAGCGCGTCAGCGGGTCACCCGCGACCGCGTTCAGTGCGCGATCTACAGCGAGGAAATCATCAGGATCCGCAGGGAGATCTGGGCCGCGAACAGGGCCCTGCAGCACTGCCTCCACGAGACTGGCACTCTCCGAGTACGAGCGCCTCGCCGAGCTCAGCCTGGCCCGATCCACAACCAGCTGATGAGCGCGGAGGGGGGGGGGCCGAGGGCGACCCGCTGCGGATCAAGGAGCTCCTGGGGCGACAGTATGGCTGCGCCTCCAGGGCCAGCGACGGGGAGGTGCCTGTGGGGTCTCTGCCTACCTCGCCCACTTCACGACGGAGGATGCATTCGATATCCCGCCCTTCTCGCCCGACATGCTCCGCGAGGCTCTGTGCGACATGGAGGCCGTGAAGGCGCCTGGCGTGGGCGGGGTGGTCGCCCAGGTCCTGTGGGCCCTCGACTCGGGCTTCCTCGCCTCGCTCGCGGCCGTCTGCGAGAACCGCTTCCGCGGGGTGCCCGAGTATGCCAGGGGCCAAGCCTGGTCGAAGCACATCATCCAGCTCATGAAGCAGAAGGGAGACAAGCATACGCTCAAGAGGTACAGGCCGATCACGCTCCTGACTACGTTCGAGAAGCTCTACTCGGTTGGCCTGATCAAGAAGTGTGCCAACAAGTTGACCCTGCGGAGCCCACAGTACGCCTATCGGAAGTTCCACCAAGCGGTGGACGTGATCTTCAGCATGCGCATGCTGGCGGAGAAGGCCCGCGAGTGGAACCGACCCATCTTCATCGTGGAATGCGACATCGAGGCATCATCCGACCGCGTCTCGCACCGCTCGGTCGAGGCGACGCTGAGAAGAAGGGCTGTGCCAAGGCCCGTGATCCTAGCCATCGTGAGGGAATTCCAGGCCTCGGTGGTGATCAAGATGGGCTCGATCCAGACCCAACCAGTACTTCGGACCCGCGGCATTCGACATGGAGATCCAGCCAGCACGATCCGCTTCAATCTCGTGCTGGGGGGTGCCCGGGAGGAGTTCCCGGGCGAATGCTGGGCGCGCGGCTGAGGCTGCGAGTTCCCAGGCGAGGCGACGCTGTGCAAGGCGGGACTTCTCTACGCAGACAACTTCTGGCTGTTTGCGGGCGCGGCCGAGTCGCTGCGCCAGATGGCGATGGCCTGGCGGCGCATCCTGCGAGCTCGCGGCTGTTGCGCACCCCCCTCGGGTTTGACCTGGGGCGCGGCGGCGCGTGGCCACGAGTTCGGCGACTGCCAGATGAGGGTCGAGGGCGGCGTCCTGGCGCGCGCGCCTCGCGCCGAGGGTTTTCTTTGCCTTGGCTCCATTTTCACCTTCGATGGGAAGTCTGGGAAGGGCGCGCAGCACAGTGTAGCTCGCGCCTGGAGAGCCTTTTACGCTCTCAAGATGTCTCTACCTGGGGGCGCGCCTGCCGCTAGCAGCGGGCCGCGAAGCTGCTCGGGCGAGCAATCAAGCCTGTCTTGCTCTACGGGTCAGGATCGTGGTGCCCCGCGGCCCAGGGTCTCAATCTAATTCGAGTCACGCGCCGCAGGATGTTCTCTCAACTGATTTGCGCGCAGAGATGGAAGCAGGAGACGCCGGAGGACTTCTGTCGCCGCCGATGGCGCCGCGTCTCTGCCGCCCTCCAGTTCCGCGCGACGTGGGACTTAGACGTGCATCATCGCAGGCTCACCTGGGCTGGACACCTAGCCCGCCAGGCCACCCTGCCAAACGCCACGCCCGCAGCTTGTGCCTGTCCATCTGCTGCAGTGGCGCAGCATGGCCTGGCTCCAGAGAATGAAGCGCGAGCGCGGATCCCGGGCGCGTGGCCGCAAGTTCAAGGCCTGGCGATGGGAGATGGACCTCGCCCGACTGCTCGATTCCGATTGGCTGGCGGATGCAGGCCAGTGCAGCAAGGTAGAATGGCTCGCTCGCGTTCGCCCGCTCGCGTGCCAGCTGCGCTGGCCTCAATCTTCTCGTGCCTCGCGCGAGGCGCTTTTGCCGGGCGTTTCTTTCAGCGGCTTGACGCGCCGCCTCAGGCGCAGGGGAGACCTTGAGGGCACGGCGCAAAGTGCAAAGTGCATCATCATCAGCATCAGCATCAGCATCGGCATCCGCATCAGCATCAGTATAATCAGCAGCAGCATCAGCATCAGCACATTCATCATCATCATCATCGCCATCATCGCCATCATCATCAACACAGTCGTCGTCGATGTCGTCATCGTCATCGGCATCGGCCTCGTCCTCGTCCTCGTCCTCATCATCATGAGCAGCATCATCATCATCGTCATCATAATCATCGTCATCATCATTGTCACCATGACTATCATAGACATCTTCAACGTCATCATCACCATCGTCCTCCTCAGTATCACCTTCTTCATCGTCACCACCACGAAGCATACTCGTCACCATCACCGTTACCACCAGCATCATCATCCTCCTTTTCCTTCCCTTCCGACTCATCATCATCATCATCATCGTCATCGTCATCGTCTCCCTCATCGTTATCGTCATATCATCATCATAATCAACATCAGCATCATCCACATTATCATCGTCATTATCATATCATCATCACCGTCATCACCACCACCAGTATTACCATCATCGTCAGCACCATCAGCATCGCTATCATCATCGTCATAAACATCCCCACCACCACCATCATCATCACCATCATCGTCATCCTTATCGTCATCGTCATCGTCACTGTCACCGTCACCGTCATCGTCGTCGTCCTCGTCCTCATCATCATGAGCAGCATCATCATCATCGTCATCATAATCATCGTCATCATCATTGTCACCATGACTTTCATAAA